GGGGGAGGGGGGTTGTTATTTTGTGAGGGTGAAAAGGGTAACTATTGCATTGTTCTGTACACCTGAAACTAACAATAAAAAAAAAAATAAAAAAAAAAGAAAATAAAGATAATAAAGATAATGCATGTCAGAACATACGAAACAATGAAAGCAATGAATTAATTAAAGCAAAAAAAATGAGAATGATGGGAGTCGGGGGGAAGGTCCAAGGAAAATTTAAAGAACCATGACAAAATATTCTGCTCAATTCTAAGTAATTTGGAAAATAATCACCTAACCAGAGTCAAGAAAAGACAGTCTCAACATACCAATTATCAAAGAAAATTTTGAGAAAATTGTTAAAAGAACTACACTCCCCAACAAGACAACTCCACAATTTCACAAGTAAATTCTACCGAATCTTCAAAGAGCAGGTAATTCCATAGCTATTTCAATAGTACCAGAGCATAAAGAAAGTTTCCATTTCTTTTTATAAAGTTAGCAGAACATGACTGCTGAAAACTGACAAAAGGACTGCATGCGCAAAAAGAAAATTACAGTATTTTACTTAGAAATATTAAAGCAAACAAAGAAGATCCAGGAACATGTTGAAAGACCAGTATACCCATTACCAGGAGGTTTACAAAGTGACACTGAGGATGGGTTAGTAATAGGATATGTATTAATATGAATAATTCACCATATTAATAGAACACAGGAGGAAAACCCCCACATGCTTATTTCCACAGATGCTAAAAATGCATTTAATTCATCACTCGTTCTGGATTTAAAAAACAAAAACACCCCTCAGGAATAGATGGATCCTTCTTACATGACAAAAATCCTAAATATGCTACACACACACATACTGTGCACACACTTTCACGTGACTGTTCTTACAAATCAATTAGGGAAAGACCAATGCCCTAGCCCAGGGGTCGGCAAACTGCGGCTTGCAAGCCACATGTGGCTCTTTGGATATGTTCCATCTCAAAAGTTTGCCGACTCCTACTCTAGCCAAAAAGAAAATTTCTGGGCAAAAAGCATGACCAGGTGTTCCATATAAATGTGATTTATAAACATAAAAACTGTTCAGACTCACCAGTAATGACAGTTCAATGAATTAAAAAGAACAACAAGAAATAATCCCACCCCTTAGATTTATAAAGATCAAGAAGTAGTAATACATCATGATGACAAAGATGTGAGCACACAAGCTCTCCAAAATACTACTGTTTGGAATGTAAACTGGTTTGACACCTTTGGAACAATTTGGCAGAATCTAGCAACATTTTAAATGCATATGCGTTTTTATGATTATTTCGTGAAATGAATTACCATCATTTCCAAATTTTGTACTTTCTTTTTGTCTAAATATCTTCATTTTATCAACTCAAAACATTACATTCAAATAGTATTTTAACTCTGACTTTTCTGTGCAACAGACTTTACTGATATCTTTGAAGTACATTACTTCTAAGAATTTACCTCATGAGTGTCTAGAGCCAATGGCAAGATGATGTTTCCATATACTATTGGGTTGTCGGAAAAGTCATGACACATTTTTGCAATGAAAAACATAGAAAAAATACGTCATGACTTTTCCGACAACCCAATATTTTGTGAGATTTGAAAATATACTATCCTAGTATTACACTTTTTAAAATTGTGGTAAAATATACATAACATATAAATTTACCATTTTAACCATTTTTAAGTGTATCGTTCAGTGGCATTAAGTACATTCACACTGTTGTGCAACCACTGCCATAATTCAGCTCCACGACTTTTTCATCATCCCAAACTGAAACTCCGGTCATTAAACAATGACTCCCATTCCCTAGTACCCCCAACCCCCTGGTAATCACTACTCTATGTTCTGTATGAATTTGACTACTTTAGGTGTCTCATATAAGTGAAATCATACAATATTTGTCCTTTGTGTCTGCCTTACTTCACTAGATATAATGTTTTCAAGGATCATTCATGCTGTAGTATATATCATAATATCATGCCTTTTAAAGCTAAATAATATTCTGCTGGATATATACATATATGTGTATATGTATATCTATATATATCATATTTTGTTTATCAATTCATCTTTTGATGGACATTTGGATTATTACTATCTGTTGACTATTGTGAATAACACTTTAAACATTAGTGTACAAATATCTGTTCAATTCTTTTGGGTAAATACACAAATGGAATTGCTATATCATATAGTAGTAATTCTATGTTTAATATTTTGAGGAACCATTATACTACTTTCCATAGTAGCTTTTATATTCCCACCAGCAATACAGAAGGGTTCCAATTTCTCCGTATTCTTGCCAATACTTGTTACTTTCTAGTTTTTGGATAATAGCCATCCTACGGGGTGTGAAGTGGTGTTTCATGGTTTTGATCAGCATTTCCCTAATGATTAGTAATGTTGAACATCTTTCATGTGCTTATTGATAATATGTATATTTTCTTTGGGAAAATGTCTATCCAAGTCCTTTGTCCACCTTTAAATTGGGTTGTTTTGTTGTTGTTAAAATTTAGGAGCTCTTTATATTCTGGATATTAATCCTTTATCAGATATACAATTTGCAAAATACCTTCTCCCATCTCATGGGATGCCTTTTCATTCTGTTGACAGTACTTTGTATTACAGTTTGAAAGAGGGTATCAGCCCTGCCTCATATTCAGATAGAACATAAGAAATTACAGGCCAGCTAAACTACAGACTGTGCATCAGACGAAGAATAGTTTTTATACTTTTAAAGGATTGTAAAAAAGAGAGAGAGACTATATGTGGCCTGCAGAGCCTAAAATAATTATTGTTTGGCTTTTTATTTAAATATTAATTTATAATTAAAGAAAATACTTAAGAGTTTTTCTATGTGAACAAGAGACCTTAAAGCATGTTTTTTCTCTAAATAAAAAGGCTAATACTTTTGTTTGCCTCTTTGTTTAAATAATTTAAGCAGGGTACTGAGATTCATATTCTGAGTTAAATGATTCTGCAAAGCTATAAATTACAGCTTGGGAAAGTCTCAAACTCCATTAATCAAGTTCTAAATAGTATGCTGAGAATGAAAAAATTTATAACACTACATGGCATGCCAAAAAAACCACCTAGGAAGCCCTGATTACCAGTCTTAAAATATAAGCTGACAATCCAAACCCAAAGTTCTTTCTTCTGGAAAACTCCCACATATTGATAATTTGTTACGTTCTCTCCTGCCTTCCTTGAATAAAATGTTCACTCTTACTCTTTAAAAGATTAATGAACAACTGAGGTTGGTGGCTTCAAACACAAAGGATCTATTGTAAAGAAATATTTCTGTAACCTGTTCAACTTAAAAGGGTAATCGAGTTTAAGCCAAATAATCTAAGAACCAGGAATCATTTCTTTATAGCAGTCATTCTTGCTACTTGTCAAACTCTCTATTATATGGGCACTCTATAAGATGAATGCAAATATAATAAATGTGGTAGGGGGTCCCAAACCTACAGCCTCCTCCTCCTAACTTCCAAAAATCATCATATAAATTGCACAGCAGTTGCATCTGGGCTTATTATGAACAGTGATTTTGGTGTGATGCATAATAGCTTTAGCAATCTTAGATTTTTAGCCATTCATTGGCTATGCACTGTATTAATGTTATTATAATATATATTTCTGATAGGACATAGTATGGTGGCAAAGTCTAGACTTGGGGGTAGAAATTGTCAGGTTCAAATCTCCAGCCCCATCACGTATCCTTCAGGCCTCAGTCTCCTCATTCGTAAAATGGAAACTGAGATAGTATAAGTAATGCCGATAGCAAAAATTCAATAAATACCATTTCCTTTTCCTCCTTGAAAACAGTAATGAAAAAAGCCACGTAGGTATCAGTTCTGTTTCTACCAATACATTTATTTAGGAGAATGACTTTGATGTCAGGAATGTTGAGTATGAAATTTAGTGGATGATGGTAGCTTTTAGTTTTGTCATCAATTACTGAAGGCTAGAATGTAAGGCACAGTGTGGGAGAAAAAACTGTAGTCAATATTGGCACTAGTGCCAGTTTAATTTATGTTGCCAAATTTCCGATCTTACTCCATGGAGATAGTGTAAGTAATACAAGGGAAAGATATCTGTGAAAGTTACAGCTAGACATTTAGGAGATTATCCTAGCATATTCCTTCTAGACAAAGGTTATTAACTGAGTTACTATACTGTTCATATTTCTACATATTCTAATAAACTGGGACACAATTTGGAGGGGGAGGGAGTAACAAAATATCAAACTTTTATAATAAGACAGAAGAAAAAAACACAACACCAAAAATATCACTTTCCTATTTCTTAAAATTCCAGGTAAGTGGCATTATTGGATCAATCGAAAATCCTAAATCACAAGTATGTAATGTCAGATTATGAAGTAAATCAAATTTAGACTTGGAAATTTTATAAAAAAATTTAAAAAGGCTTACAGTCCATCTCCTGAACTCTAGAGATGGTACAAAAGAATTATTTGATAACTGATTTTTCCTTTGTCAGGGTCTAAAATTGCTTCACATCAGAGGCTGTGTGGTATTATCTAGTGGACATCAGAAGATCAGTTACTAAAACAGGGGTTTCTTTGGAAGAATTCAGGGGAAAAAAACAAATTGAGCATCTGTCCCCATCTCCTTAAGCAAGGTTCTTTTCCTTTTCCTTCTTAGTGTCTCAGGTACTGACTTTTACCGAAGGAATGTGCTTAAAATAAAGCAAAATGTAATATTTAAAGGGGGGCGGGGTGGGGAGACTCCTATTAATTCCTCTTTTATTGTAACAGGGAAAATAGTGGGATTTGTAAAAGCTAATTGGAGGGTGTGTCAAGGGCTTCAACTCTTTCAAATTCACCACCTAACAGCTACAGTTCTGAATTATTTAGGAAATGAAAATGGACTATTAGGACAGTTGCACTAATTCAATGAGGATGAAACTCCAGGTCATAAAGTTTAATATATTTTCTTTCTACATGTCTGTCTCACCTACTAAATTGAGAATCTCTGGTGGACATACACTATACCTTTTTTCATATTCGTAATCCTAATATAAAGTAAAATGGCTACCCATAATAGATCCTATATGAAATGCTGAATGAAAACAATCAAGACAAAACCCCAATAGCATATAAATAAAATAACTTTTAAATACTAGATGGCAATCATAAAACTTTAATGAGAATAAGAAAATAAAATATATTTCAATTGTGAAATTACCAAGAACCAGATAGAGGCCCAAAATTTAAGTAAATGGTTGCTAACCTCAAGTTCCTAAACTCCAGAGACTGAGAAGACAGAAATGAAGGTGATTAAGTTAATTTCAACATTTTAGAAAGGCCAGGGGACACTGTACATTTACATTTACCTATGATAACACTGCTAACCAAAATACTAAGTTTCTTCCTTTTTGCCCCAAATAATATTAGCTCAGTAGGGTAAGATTTTATCTTATACTGATAAGATGCTCTGATAACAATTAGGTGTAATTTTGATTAATAAGGGCTGTTGTCATATATGCTAGCCCTACCCCACTCCCAAACACACAAAACAAGTTTTAGACAAGAGCAAAAGGAAAAACAGAGAATATTGGAAAAAAGAATATCTGTAGGCTAGAATATCTGTAAACTGGAATAAATCAAAGGCAAACTGTCCTCAGCCACCCCCTGCTCTGTCCTATCCACCAAACTTAGGTCCTGTGGACTGGCTATTCTAAATAAACCTACTAGTTATTCTACTTTAACAAACTGACCTACAAGCATAGAAATTTACAGCAGAAAAATTACCTCTCGAACTTCATCATCTTCTTCGTTAGTATTTTTTTGTCTGCTTTCTCTGAAACGACGTACCTGGATTATAACAGAGTATATCACAAATGTGTTGCTTATTCCTCTTATGTAAATTATAAAATAATGGGCTACAAGAGAGTAACAGATAATTTCCATTATATAAAACTTGGAAATTTAAGTATAGTTTTGTCTCACAAAAGATTGATTTAAGAAGTCATATTTTCCCAGTGGCTTTCTGAAATTTTAATATAAGGGAATGTACTGTTAAAAAAAAAAAAAAAAGAAATTGGCCCTAATCAAAATTTTATTACCTGCTGTGGAAATGTTCCACGTCACTGAAAAACAGTCTGTCAGACTGCAGAGGAAAATTCTAATATTCTACTGGTGTTATACCCCCAGGAAAGTAGTTTAAAATCTCTCTTTTAAGAGGTTTGAATTATTTATTACATTGCTCAAATCATTTTTGCGCATACAGCTGCAGACATCTAGGAGGCTCTGTGAAATGGTATCTGAAGTGGGTGGGCCCCTGAAGGGCCAATTTATCAAGTCAACTACTCAATGTTTGCTATTTGCTGTCCATGGTTCTGTTACCATGAAGGATACCAGAGATTCCTTTTATATCGGTTCCCACTCACATGGTTCTTATAATATGGTTATACAGTCATTCATAAGCTCCAGTCATTTAATAATTTATAATACTCAGATCCTAGTTACTAAGCACCTACTATGCAGCAAGCTCAACTGTAGGAATTGAGAAGACAACAAAGAACACAATAGTTAAATATTCTGCCCTCATGGAGCTTACAGTATGTGTGAGTGTGAGTGTGAGTGTGTGAGTGTGTGTGTGAGTGTGTGTGTGTGTAAGGACAGTCAATAAACAAAAAAGTTATATTGTATTTTAGAAGGTGTGTAGGATCAAATTACAGTAGACGGGGAAAGTTCTAACCTTGTCTCTGAGGAGCCTCTGGCATTCCCAGGGCCAGTTTATTTAATAACGGTTTCCAAACTAAACAACCAGTTAGGCATGACTTGATTATATGACCAGAGGGGCATAAAAGATCCCCTGGGAACTTCTATACAAATCTTGGTGTTTAATCCAGGGTACACTGTGTGCAAACAGGACATCGGGAACTTATGTCTGGTGTCTCTCAGATCCCAATGCCTCCCTATACCGTTTTCTTCCTATACTATATCCTTTGCCTATAAATAAAAACCTTAAGTGAGTATGCGCAGTGGAGTCTTGTGTGAGTCCTTTCAAATATCTGGCCCCGTGAAATCTCTGCAAAAGGTGGTAAGTGTTGAGAGAAAAATAAAGCAGGAAAAATAGGGTTACAGCTGAATAGAATGATCATGAAAGGCCTCACTGAGGGTAATGCATGAGCAAAGATTTTAAAAGGTAGGGGATGAGTCTTGCAAATAACTGGGGAAAATCACTCCACTTAAAAGAAAGAATATGTGCAAATGCACCAGGGCAGAAGCATGCCTGGTATAAAATAGCAAGGAGGCTGCTGTGGCTACAGCAGATATGAAGGTAAAGAAGTAACAGAAAGCCAGATTTAATATGGCCTTGTAAGCAACTATGAAGACTTTTTTTAAAAGCAGGAGTGACTTCATCTGAAACATTAGAATCACTGCCAACTGAATTGAGGACAGAACAGGGAATGGAGGAAGGGCAAGGGCAGAAACAGGAAGACCAGTTTGGAGGCTTATCAAGGGATGCATTGGACCACTGGTAGTGATGAAAGTGGTGAGTAGTAGTCACATTCTATATATATTCTGAAGGTAGAGCCAAAAGGATTTATAGACAGAATACAGGTGCAGAAAGAGAGGAATCAAGAATGACTTCAATGATTTTGGTCTGAGTAAAGAAAAGAATGGTGCTTCCACTAGAACACTACAGACAGAGCAGGAGCTGAGGATTAGCCATTCAGATGGGAATACTATAAGTCTGAGATATCTATTAAACATCCAAGTGGAAATACCTTGCAGGCTGTAGGCTACAGAAGTCTTGAGTTTAGAGGAGGAATCTGGGTTATTTTTTAAAGTCACCACCAAACATGGTACTTAAAAAGCCAGGAAGCTTGAAGAAATTACAATGGGAATGTGCAGATAAAGAAGGGGTCCAGGCCAGCCGAGTGGCGCGTTGGTTGGGGGCTGGCTTGGGACGCTAGAGGGGGCCCCGGTTCGGATCCCACATGTGAGGGCCAGTGACACTGCCCTCTCCAAAAAAAAAAAAGAAGGGGTCCAAGGGCTGAATTCTGGGGACTCCAAATTAAGGTGTTGAAGCAGTGAGAGGAATCAACAATAGAAACTGAGAATATACAATGAGTTAGAAGGCCAGAAGAGTGTGCAGTCCTAAAAGTCAATGCAAAAAAAGGTCTCAAGAAGATGTCAAATGAGATGTATGATGAAGAGCTGCCAGTGGATGTAGCAACAGAGGTCATCCGCATGAGTAGTTTTGCTGGAATAACAGGATCAAAACCCCTCAATAGATGGGTTTAAGAGCAAAAGGAGGGAGAAGAACCAGGTCAGCACACGCAACAACTTCTTCTGTAAAAGAAGAAAGAATAGTGATGGGAGGAGGACTGGCTCTGGGTGGTGGGCACACAATGTGATATAGAGATGATGTATTACAGAACTGTACACCTGAAACCTATGTAACTTTACTAACCATTGTCACCCCAATAAACTTAAAAAAAAAAAAGAAAAGAAAAGAAATAGAGTCGTAGCTAAAGGGAAATAGGATCCAGAGTTTTGTTTGTTGAAAGAAATAACAGCATGTTTGTTCTGATTCAGCAGAAAGAAAATATAGGAATAACAATTTTTTAAAAGGTAACAGAGGATATAATAGTGTTCTAGCTGGTATGTGACATACTGAAAGTACTAAGTCATTCATAGACAGAAATGAGTCAAAGTAAAACTGCTGAGCTGTACTAGGTGCCAACAGTGTTCTGAGCGGCTGGACAAACCTGATACTCCTACCAGATGCGTACTAAATCTTTTTCTCAAATTCTTGCTGCTTTGACAAATAAAAAATACAGTTAACCCTTTAACAACATGTGTTTGAACTTCATGGGTCCACTTACATGTGCCTTTTTTTCAATAAATATACAGCTGGTCTTCCCTGTCACCAGGTTTCACATCTGTGAATTCAACCAACTACAAGTCAAAAATAGTATTTTCGACCCATGCTTGGGAGTCCACAGATGCAGAGGGTCCTGTATGTATGCACTATTCTATTTTTTACATAAGGGATTGTTTATATAAGGCATTGTTTTTATAAGGAATTTGTGCATCTGTGAAGTTTGGTATCTGTGAATTCTGTAGGGGGTCCTGCACCCAATGGCTCATGGATATTGAGGGAGCACTGTAGTTAAGTTTTGGGGGAGTCAACGTTAAATGGGGCTTTTCAACTGCACAGGGATCAGGGCCCTTAACCCCTGTGTTGTTCAAGGGCTAAATGGACATTTAACTTTGAGTTTCTTTGATTATCCTAGGCTAAGCACCATTTTCATAGTGTCTAGCTTATTAGCCATTTATGTTTCTTTTGTGAACCACCTATTCCTGTCCTTTGTTCATTATTCTATTGAAGTGTTTAGTATTTTTCTTAATTAAGAATATTAACCCTTTTTCTGCCTACATGCAAATATTTTCTCCATCTCAACATTTTCTAATTGGTTTTTGAAAAATTTGACATGCAAACATTTAAAATTTTTATGTAGTCAAATCTAAAGAGCTTTTCCTCTGTGATTTTTTCCCACTACTTTTATGCTTAGAGAGAAATGTATTTTTAGATGAAATTCAAAATCTCAATCAAAACTTACTAAAAATTTGAAATGCGCAGAAATTTTCATCCTACAAGGTTCATTTTAAAGCACTTTCATGATCTTCAAGAGACACTCTCTACGGGGAACAAAACTAACATTTATTGGGTATCAATTATACTTAAGACACTTATTAGACAGCTTCTAATTTCATCATTTTATGATCTCAATTTTATAGATGAGGAAACTAAACAAGTCACAGAAACTAATTAGTGGTTTACCAGAAAGAAACTCAAGAGCTACACTTAAGAAGAGACTGTCTGAACAGATTTATTCCCCTCAAAATAGTTACTCACCTCTTCATCGATTTTATCTTCTAGGGCATCAATATGACGTTCTTTAAGAAATCGCTGTGTTTTTTCCAACTGGTATTTCACTAATTCCTCTATGGCATCTTTCTCCTCTTTGTCCACAAATTCTTGTACTGCTTCACCCATTCCCCTTTCTGTTAGAAGTGAGAGCTGCACATTCTGTAAGACAGATACAAATCTGGATGTAAAAAATAGCTCTGTTCCTTAAAAAATAATTCTATATGAGCAAGGAAAGTTACAGAATAACATTTCCAGGGAAAAAGATAAAAAAACTTATCTAGTTATTGAAGGGGAAAGAAAACAAAACAATGGGCAGGAATTAAGAACCAGAAAAAGCAAAGTAGAAACGAGAAACGGGACAGGTGAAAATGCAGAGGCCTGAGTGGCTGGGATCCAGAGACCAGAAGTGGCAGCTGATGATTAAGAGAGATTAGGTTAACCAATGTGGTGGGGAGAATAAAGGCCCCCTAAAGATGTCCACATTCTAATCTCTGAGACCTGTGAATATGTTACATGGCAAAGGAGGACTAAGGTTATAGATGAAATGAAGGTTGCTAATCAGCTGGCTATAAAATCAGATTATCACAGACTATCCAGGTGGGCACAGTATAATCACCAATATCCTGAAAAGTGGAAGAGGGAGGCAGAAAAAGGATGTAGATGAGAGCTGCAACTCAAAAAAAATGGCGGGCTGGCTGAGTGGCACAATGGTTAAGAACTGGCTTGGGATGACAGAGGGCCCCGGTTCGGATCCCACATATGAGAGCCAGTGACACTGCCCTCCACAGCTAAGATGCTGAACAACAGCTCAACCTGGAGCTGGGCTGCTGTGAGTCGAGTCACCGGTGACGGCGTAGGCTGCAGACCCTGTGGCAGTGGGTTGCCATGGGCTATCGTATGTAGCCAGCAGCCAGCATGAGCGGCCAGCAGCCTCAGTGAGCGGCCATCCAGAAGCCGGCGACTGATCTGCCTTGCCCAGGAAGAGCGCAATGATGGTGCCAACTTGGGCCAGTGAAGCAACGTCCTCCACAACTAGACTGAAGAACAAAACGACATCAACTTGTCTGTTCCCCTTCTCCCAATTCCCCAGCACTGTTCCCATTCCCCCAATTCCCCAATAAAAATCTTAAAAAAAAAAAAAATGGCCAGAAAGATAAAACGGTGCTGGCTTTGAAGATGGAAGAAGGGGACCATGAGCCACGGAATGTGGGCACCTCTAGAGGGTGGCAAAGAAATGTATTCGACTTCAGGGCCTGCAGAAAGGAACTCAGCCCTGCAGACATTCTGATTTTAGTCCAGTGAGACCAGTGTCAGATTTCTGACCTACAGAGCTGTTAATAAATTTGTGTTGTTTTAAACCACAGTGTTTGTGGAAATCTGTTTCAGCAACAATAAGATACTAATATAACCAGAGATCTTAAAGAGGCATATGCTCATGACAATAATAGTAACTGCACCATCCTGTGGCTGTATTATTAATAAAGTAATTCTAAAATTACATCCAAATGCAAGAAAAGTAAATCCTGGATTCAGATTTATGTAGCAGAGATTAAAAAGAAAAAGGATAACAACATCAGCAATAGCTACAATAATAATATTAATAACTAACATTAATTAAGCACATAATTTTTCTTGGTATACAGTAGTTATAAATGAGTGTAATTAATTGCCATCGTACTTACTCCATGGAAACATTCCTTTTATTTAAACTATCAATTATACATATTCTAAATTAAAATGTTATTATAAAATAGCCATTATTCAAAATGTGAACTGTAATTAAATTACCTTCTCTGCAGTTTGAAAATATTGTTTTACAAGGTCTTCTACCCTGAGAGTTACTCCTTCTGAAGGCTTTGTAATGAATTTCCCAAAGTTGATCTCTTCTCCTAGAAAAAAGAAGTCCATGAAAAAAATTGCAACTTCTTATAATGTTAAAGGGCCCCCAAACTCACTGCAGGTTGCTTTCAGTGGAGGAGGTATGGCCAAGCTTTATCAACTGTCAGCTTGCTCAATGTGGTAAATTTTGAGGTTAAAACCATAACAGTTTTGCTAATAGCCACAGTCTTGTCACCAAAGTCTGTATTTTTCTTCCATATCTCCAAGTGGTATATCTCTTAGCAACTATTCTCACAGGGTGGTCCACAGACCTCTGGCGGGGTACCCAAAACCATTTCGGGGGGTGCTCAAGATCAAAACTACTGTACTTTCATAATAATACTAAGATGTTATTTACTTTTTCCACTCTAGAGGCATTTGCACTGATAAAACAAAAGCATCGGAGGTCAAACTGCTGGTGCGTTGGGATGAGTGAAGCCAGTAGCTCAGAACTGTACTAACAGTCACCACCACATACTCACAGTTTAAAACAAAACCAGAAAAGCCACTTTCACTTAAAAACATCCTCGATAAAACAGTGCAAGTTATTAACTAAATCTCAGCCCTCATGTACATACCTTTTTAATATTCTGTGAGATAAATGAGATGTATGCTTAAAGCACTTTTGCTGCATTCCTAAGCAGGACGGGTGTCTCAAAAAACAGTAGGTAAAGAATAAAAAGAGTACCGGAGAGGAAGTCAAGAAAGCATAGGATCCAGTATCTGTTCTGCTCATAACCTCTGTCAGGGAAACCAATATTCACTGCCTAGGTGTCAGGCCTGGTGTTGAAAACATACCGATAAAAAGACAGAGTCCCTGCCCACGAGAACAGAGGATTCAAATGCAAGGTGATTAGTGCTACAACAGAGGTAAGAACAGAATAAGACAGAGAAGAAATAAACTAATTCTTCTCAAAGAAGGTTGAAAGTAACGTGCAGATATCCAATGCAGCTATCTTCTGAATCAAGACTTGCAGAATAAGTAAGGTTCACTCAGCAAAAAAGAAAAAATATTTTAGGAGGAGGAAAAAGTATATGCAACAGCTTAGAGGGTAAAGAGGCACAAAGTTCAGTGTGCCTGTGAGGTGAGGACAAGGGAACAGAAATCTTTCTTGAATTTCAAGCCAGTAGAGTTAATATAAATTCATGAGTATGATTACTACACTATACCATGCCAGGCACTAAGTTAGGACCATTTACACACAGTATATCAACTAAGCCTCACAACACTCCTATGCGGCACAGTTATTATCCTGATTTTATAGACATCAGAAAGGTAAAGTAATTTGCAAAATGTCACAGATGTAGTTAAGCAGCAGAGCTGTCTAGAACAACAAAAAAGTCTTTCAAAACATACAAAGGGGTCATTGTTTCAATTCAGCAATCTATGTTTAAACAAAAAAGGAATCATTAGAAGAAAACTTACTATGGATGAAACTCAAGTAACGTAAGGTGCTAGTTCTACATTCTGTATTATGAATGCTACGCCCACAAAATGTCAAGGAATTGATAAGAATAGACAACAAAAGTAAAATCAATAAGTAACTAATTAAAATTCATAGCATAAAACCGTAATTCTCTGATATGGATTTTTTCCCCCCTAAAACAGTATTCTATGAGCTCCACTTAAATATCTGAATGATCATTTCAGGTTGAATTAACAGCATACACAATTTTTACCACAATTTAATATTCAAAATAGGAGCCCATTAAACCTGAGTTAATAAAAACCTAGGTAGTTTACTTGTAAACAAGGGCCATAATTTTCTATGAAAATTCTGACTCAATAGCTCTAAGGAGAAGAGCCTCTATATTTAACAGGATAATATTTATTATGAAGAAGCTCTACAGTTGACTTTTGCACAACTTGGGGGTTACAGGCGCCTACCCCCTTGCACAGTTGAAAATCCGTGTATCTTTCAATTCTCCCCCAACTTAACTACTTACAGCCACTATGGACTGAAAGCCTTACCAATAACATAAATAGTAGATTAATACATATTTTGTATGTTATACGAATTATACACTGTATTCTTTTTTTTTTTTTTCCAGCTGAGCCATCCTGCAACCTGTTGGCAGCTTAGCTTGAGCTGGGACTCTAACCACTGTTGCTCAGAGCTCAAACTCTTGAGCGAGCTCATAACCAACTGAGCCACTCTGCCCATACACTGTATTCTTACAATAAAGTAAACTAGAGAAAAGACAATGTTATTAAGAAAGTCATAAGGAAGAGAAAATATATATACAGTATAGTACATATTTACTGAAAAAAAAAAATCCACATGTAAGTGGACCCGTAGTTCAAATCTGTGTTGTTCAAGGGTCAACTACTTCAGTCAGATGACCTTTTTTATAAATGCTAAAATAAGGTCAATTAGTTTTTATAAAATTTAATTGGAAACTAATTACCTGATCATCAGAAACATCAAACTATGGCACACCTCATATTTCAAAAGATTGGAGTCTTCCTAAATCACTGTACACTCTAAAGCTGAAATATTTAATAATGCAAAATTTGAGAGTATATTCCCTGAACACTAATAGTGTATAGTAAATAATATTCATTTTGAGAAATTAATTTCTAAAGTCTGTGTGTTATTACTAAGCAGCACTGTTTAAAAAACTGTATCTGTAGAGAAAGCCTGACATTTTTTTATTGATATCCACACAAGTTTAAGAATGACTGCTATCTAATTTTTAGAAGACAGATTTAATTATTCCAACTATCAGTTTATTTGTCTAAGATATTTGAAAGAATCATACTAAAACATTTTCCATTACTTTATACTTCTTTTACTAAAGATAGATTTACATAAATCCTATAAAAGCAGTTTTTAATTTGTAAAAAATAACTAGCTTACCTGTGTTTTCCTTTTGTTCTCTACGCCTGAAAAAATGGATAACATCCTTTGGATTTGCTACTCGATCCACAAATTTCTGGCTAAAGCGCAGAACACTGAAAGGTTCAAAACCTCCACTGTAGTCCACCTGGAAATACAGAATAAGCTCTGAACACTAGGAAACAGTTGACCATTTCAATTTAGGTTTATGCTCAACACTTGTAAGTTAATAAATTAATGTTCTACAGTTCATTTTAAAGATCATGATGGTGTTATACCATTTATTCTACTAAGAACATAAAGATTCAAAGGTTTATAAGCTTACACAAAACACGGTGTTTAATGGACTCAAGATACAGGAAGAATTCCCACAGTGGAGGAATGATTACATCTCCCCGTGATGAAATTAACAGTCTAGGCACCAGCAGTACCATCTGAAAATGAGGTGGAATTTTTAAACAAATTTTTAAATTTTCAAAACAGAGAAAATTCCCCGCCAAAATAAAATGCAGGCCCTAGATGCATTAGTTTATTGGTCTATCGTAGGGATATGCTTTCACACTTGACAAGAATAAATACTGGTAAAATCCATGTAGGAAAGGAATCAAATCTGAGTTTTGAGAAACGATTACCTTTAAAATACAGGCTTTATTTAGAACCGCTCTCAAGGCAATCTCTTTAAACAAGTTTATAGTGGTAGAAAGACCTTTACAAATACTACATTTCTTTTTAAGAGGTATACAGTTGACCCTTGAACAAAGTGGGGATTAGAGGCGCCAACCCTCCACATATTTGTAGTCGAAAATCCACGTACAACTTTTAACTCCCCCAAAACTTAGCTATTAATAGCCTACTGTTGACCAGAAGCCTTACCAATAACATAAACAGTTGATTAGTACCTATTTGTATGTTATATGTACTATATACTGTGCCCTTACAATAAAGTAAGCTAGAGAGAGGAAAATGTTCTTCAGAAAATAAGAAAGAGAAAATACATTTACAGTAGTTACTGAAAAAGCTCCACATATAAGTGGACCCACACAGTTGAAATCCCTGTTGTTCAAGGGTCAACTGTAATCATTTTCCTGAACTAGCTGTTCTTAAATGTAATGCTTTGGGAACCAGCATTGTACCATATCACCAGCCTATCCAGACTTCCCCCTAACCTCCCCCACTTACACTCTCATCACACTTAGCATGAGCTGACATTTGTTCATTTATTTGCTGTTTATGACGTCTCACACCTCCACCTCCTGTAGGCTCCACAAGTTCAAAACCTCATTGTTTTATCATCACTGTGTCCCCCAGCATGCAGAACAGAAGGTAATAAATATTCATTTACTGAATTAGTGAATTAATGAGGGTCCTCTACTTCATACAATGTACTTTTGGAATATTTGTTACATGAAAAATCTGTTCGTTTCATGAATGAATGAATAATTCACTGTGTTTAGGGAAAGAAATGCCAATTTTCTATTTAAGTCTGGTTGGTTCTAGTGGCATCAGGCAGACATAGATTAGAAACATGGGATCTTCTGCCCTGATAAAGAGAACTATGTGCTTCCCCCAATGCAACTATGTTTGTATTACTCAGACCATCTCTACAGACGCCATGTTATAAAACAGGAAATGTGAAATGCTCAAGCTATTGGGTCTCCCCAAAACTCTTCAACATTTTAACAATTATACTCCCGCCTAGTTTTATTTGAAATTTTCTAGTCCTTAGAGTTTTCACAAAACCTGTTCATTAAGCAAACTTTATTGAGTGTCCACAATGAGCTAGGCACGAGCAATGGCGAGAGCTAAGGGCGAGAGCAATGCAGCCATGAATAAAACACAACCTTGGTTGTCAAGAAATCTACAAGCTGACTAGGAACACAGGCACGTAAATAATAATTGCAAGCAGAATGTGAATGGTGCTGTAATAAGTATGTACAGAGCAGACTGAGGACACAAAGGAAAAAGCATCAACTCTGCGGGAGGTCAAGAAAGGCTTCTTTGAAGAGGGGAAGCTTTACATGGGTGTTGAAGAAGCTATTATGGAAGGAGAGAAGCAGATTCCACACAGCAGGATCAGCATGGGCAAAGGGGTGACAGAGTGAAATAAACTCAGCAATACTATCCTCTGAAAATCAATAAAGTTTAACTCATCTAAAATAGAACTTACTCGCAGTCGTATAAGAGGCTTTTCTGGCTGTCGAGGATTTCCCAGACGTTCCCTCTCAGCATTTTCAAGTATTTCTTCAACCTCAAAATAAAAATATTGTCGTGACTGGGGGGGTAGGGATACTACTGGCATCTAGTGGGTAGAGGTCAGAGAGGATATTGTTAAAACCCTATAATGCACAGAACAATCTCTTACAACAAAGAATTATCCAGTCTAAAATGTGAGCTGTGCCAAGGTTGAGAGACCGTGGACTCCCTGACCCAGGACTGATAGACTGACTCATCTCCCATCTCCCTGGCTTCAGAGACTGGGTTTAGGGAAAAGGACATGACTTTAGTCCAATAAAACTTAATGCTAAGTGTTTATCTGGAACTACTGGGGAAAATTATTCTTTCATCTGTAAGGATAATGTAAGTCTGTGGGCCAACCAAGTGAAAATGCCTTCCCTATAGTGATGCATAAGACAGAAACCATCAGAAAGGGTGGCATGGGGCTAGACACAGAAACAGAGACAGAGAAACCCACAATCTTAATTTGAATTTCTGGATCTAGTCATCTTGAAGCCAGCATACTCTCAAACTTTTCAGTTACGTGACTTACATGCTGCTAGCAAAGCTGAGCTACTGGGCAAGTTACTGTATCTAAGGTTGAGCTCCTCTTTCTATAAAATGTGGATGGTAGAATCTACCTACCCATAACATTGTTGAGTAGATTAAAAGCAAAATGTTGTCAATGGTGCCCAGAACATATAAGCAGGCAGTGAATATTAGTGATAATTATTACTACCTCATATGATTTTTTATGAGAATAAAATGCAAAGCTCAAGAGTTAGCACACAGTAAGAACTGAGTGTCAGCAATTAATGTTTTTAAGCTGTCAACTTACATATTATCAAATACATTCACGCAACTTTACTAGTGGCTCTAGAATTTCTGCAGAGGTTTAAGGGTGGCAATCTGCATGAAAGGGGAGGTATGGGACTTACGCTGAAGGTATAAGGTACATAGCAAACACATTTTAAGATTTTATTTGGGGGTAGCTTTCAAGGTAAAAGGGACGCCTAACGGAGATTATTAGAAAGGCTAAAGGCTCTCCTCATCTACCATAATATTCTCCCATTCCCCAATCAAAGCGATTGCCTGCTTCTATAAATAAAATGAACAAATTATCATATCGGGATAAAAAGAGAGAAAAGATTACGTAAATGTTTTTGAGAAAGAGGAAAGAAACTAGGAGAGGGGCTGCATTAAATTTCTTCTATATAAGCATTCCTCCATCCTGAAGACTTAAAAAACAAGATCTTTGTTATAACTAAACTCATTTATTAAACAACAGTGGCTCCTCACAGGCTTCATGAGACTGGAAAAAATACAGAGGGTGCCTAAAAAATGTATTCCCATTTTAAGAAAAGAAAAAACTATTAAAATTGTAATACTCAATATATAACAACAAAAGATGAATAAAAGTCACGTTTGACTTCCGCAATTACAAGAGGTGGCCAAAGTGGTAACCATCAGCGTCCAGACACTTCTGATGATGGCGAGCTACTGCTTGAGCAACGTTGACCAAAATGTCCACTTGTAACCCTTTTTTGGCACTCCCAGTATGAAGACTTCCCGGTATAATGAATTCAAAGTAAATAATCTCTCTAAGTAGATCTCATTGACCTTTATCTAGAAGAATTACCTTCTCCAAGCAGAAGTTTTGTATGGCTTGGGTTACTTTAGGATTATCCGGGTTAAAAATGTCTGGATGATCAGTCAGAATAACATCCTCCATATAAAACTGCCGCACTGTGTGAAGAGGAATTTTCTGCATATGCATCTTCTTTCCTTTAATACGCAGCAAACCCACATGTCTGAAAGGAAGACAGAAATGAAACCCTAGTCACATTTGTAAATTTCTTCAGGAAAACATGCACACCAAAACTATCCCATTTCTAAGTTTCTACAAAATATTTCTTCATAAAATCACACCCTTATAAAATATTTTTAGCAATTTAATCTTAATGTTATATCACAGGAAAAAATATTATTCTTCATCAGAATAAAACCCACTCATCCATCATTTTTCCTGCCTCAACAAAGTTTGATAGAAGATAGATATAACAATAAGAAATAAAATGCTATCAGGACGATGATAATAATATATATAGTATAGATTATTACATATATATGTGTTGTGTGTGTGTGTGTATATGTACACACACATAAACTAGCAGAATTATGAAGAAAAAAGCAGCAAACTTTCATCATACTACCATATTTTTTAAACCTATTATTATCGTCTTAATCAAAACTTGAGTGGATAAAAGCATAAAACCTGTTCTAAAAACTGAATTTAATCACTTGGAGAAAAGGATAAAACCTGTTCTAAAAACTGAGTTTAATCACTATTAACTACTTTATCACATAATTCCACCAAAGAATTAAAAGAAATATGATGTGCTATAATATTGCATTTATAACCAGAAAAGTCTAATAAACGTTATTAGGTGAATTCGTTTATAAATGGACAACGTGAAATTAGTAATCATCTATAGCACTCTAACTTGAAATTTAATAAATAAAAATGTTAGTCTTGAATTTGCCTAATGAGCAGCAAAATCATTAACTCCATTGAGATGATGTCAGGTTGAAAACAGTTTAAAATCAAGGAAAATAGCAGGACTACATCAAATGATCAATCTTCATAAATCTATCTTATAAATAATACCATCAGTACTTTGAACCTATGGGGTGATTCGAATATTATAGAAGGTGTTTTTTTAATTGATTTGGAAAATATAACATTACTTACTTCTTTACAGCTTCTCCCGGGGAAAGAGAAGTAACTACAGAACTTCCAGGTTGTGATACATAAAAAAGCTGTTGTTCATTTTTGGTTGGAGCTATTTTACACTCGTGTTCGTGGCCCCAAATAACAAGATCAATGAAGTCATCCAAAAATTGTTCTGGAATGAAGTTAGTATTTCCATGTTTACTCCTATACCAAGATTTTTAAAATTAAATAATATAAATGTTCAGAGATAGAGAAAAATTTCATATTAAGTAATTCTATACAGATCTTTTTTTCTCCTTTCATTAAAGACTTATTACACCCCTTCTATATGCCAAAACTGTGCAAGAGATTGAGAATACAAAGATCCTATCTAATTCCTGCCCTCAAAGGGCTTACAAATTTGCAAGATACAAACACATAAAAGACACAAAAAGAGAAAGTAGTCAATTCTATGTTTGAAGGCAGATCACGCAAGGCTAACGGAGGAATAACCCTCTTTGGGCAAGTCAGAAAAGCATGAGCTCTATCAATAGTAAAAACCTGCAAAATGGTCTGATTATACACCAAAAAATAAATAAATACAGAAAGTGAAAATGAGTTAAGCCTAAATTTTGTATAAAAACAAGTATCTAACTATGTCCATTTTTTAAACATCATGTTTCTTTTACTGATTATAAAACTAATGGAGGTAAGAATGACAATCTTACATAAGAGATATCATGTTAAATATTAAATAAAATATCATGTGCATAATTGATGTACAAACTCTAGTTTTTATACCTAGGATTAGCTGTTGTTATTGAAAAATATGTGAAAACCCAAGGTGAGTAAAACAAGAAGGAAAAGTTTTTGCTAAAACTGACTTACATCAATTGGGAATTTAAGTAAAAGTGTTCAAATACTTTGACCTAGCATTCATTTAATGCAAACCAATAGTCATTCATTCAAAAAATATTTACTGAGTGTCTACTGTGTGCCAGGTGTCCCAGGCCTCTTCTAGATACTGAAGACACAGCAGTGAACAAAGTCCTTGTTCTAGTGGGGGGAAAAAAAGCAACAATATAAGATGTATATGCATATGTGTATATATATATACATATATATATATAATTTGTCAGGTAGTGATAGATTCTATAAAGAAAAATAAAAGGAAAAGTAACACAGAAGGGGGATGTTACTATACATAGGGTGGTCAGGAAAGGCCTCTCTGACAGGTGACAAATGAACAAACAACTAAGATGAGGTGAGGTATCAGCATGGCAGGGAAGAAAGACCTAGGCAGAGGGACAAGCAGATGGCAAAGGTGCAGATGTGGTAATGTGTTCAGTGTTTTCAAAAACAGGAAGGACATCAGTGTGGCTGAACAGAATGAATACAGGCAGAGCAAGAAGTAAAATCAGAGAAGCAGCAGAATCAGCTATCTAGGAAAATTTTTATGTAGAAAACATATATCCAGGTTACAAAAATCAAACCCAAATCCCTTTGGATTCTTCCTGAATAACTGCTCAGCTTTTTCCCTTATATAATCATTTTCACTGCCATGACTGCTACCATCTTACATTTTTTTACTATAATGATCACATAATAAATCTTGCTTCTTCAAGTCTCCATTCCTTTCCATCAATCCTGCACCCTATCAATAGATTAAACTTCTTAAAACTACTAACAAAAGAAAGCTGATCTAGCTATATTTAATGTTCTGGAAAAACGCTTGCACATCTGTACCAGGAGACATACATAAGAATGTTCCTAACAAAAAGGTTTTAAAAAGCAAAAATCTGGAAATAACACAAAACACTCACTAACAGTTGAAAAGTATAACTGTATACATCAGCAAAAATGAATTACATTTCTAAGCATCAAAATGGACAAATCTTAGTAACATAATGTTGACTATAATAAGCCAGCTGGAAAATATATAACATAGTTCCAGTTATACCAAATTTAAATAAAATACTCATTATGGACATATATGTGATTAAACAATACAGAAAAACAACAGATTGAGTAAATAAAAATTGAAGATTGAGCTTCTCTCTGGGGTATGGGGAAAGAGATGGGGTCAAGGAAGGGCATGGGATAATGTATAATACTAGTGATACTCCATTTCTTTGCTGAGTTTAGGAATATTCGTTTTATGGTTATTCCTATACCTCATCCATATGCCATAAATATTCTTTAAATAGGTATGAATACAAATTGAAAACAATTTCAAAAAGCAATCACACAAAGCATATCTAAGTTTTACCTAACCCTGCACTGACAACTTTCAAAGAATGAGGAACATTTTACTCAAACAGGTAAGGGTGGAAATAGAGATTTGGGGAACTTCAACACTTGGCTTGAAAATTTCCAGAGAATACTTTTACCTGTTCTGATGAATCACAAATAAGTTAAACCAAGAGTTCTCATCTTCTTTTGGTCTCAACATTGTTACTTTTTTATTGACGAACATTCGATACAGTCTTTCATCCGGAATGGATCCTGAAATGGACATTATATTACTTTAAAATTGGTTTTTTATTTGGTTTTAAAAATGAATATGTTTTGCTTCTAACTTATGTGCTTCTCTAAGTATTTCATTTTCCTATTAAAGATATATTTGAATCATTATTTAACACGAATATGTTCCAGGTTCTTGCATAACAACTGCTGAGCAGTTAGATGCATTCAAAGAATGTTTTCCATGTCAAGTTTATATACCTTCAAAATCTGAAAAATGTTTTTCACTATTGCTTTATTTATACTTATAAGTATATAAGTACTTTTATAATAAACTAAATAAACAAAAATAAACATTATAGGGCTGGCCAAGTGACTCAGTTGGTTAAGAGCATGAGCTCTGAGCAACAGGGTTGCTGGTTCAATTCCCACATGAGCCAGTGAGCTGCACCCGAGCTGAGCTACCAACAGGAGGCAGGATGGCTCAGCTGGCGAGAGCACATGCTCCTAACAACAAGGTTGCCAGTTCAACTCCCGCATGGGATGGTGGGTTACACCCACCAGCAACTAAGATTGAACACGGCACCTTTTGCTGAGTGGCCACAAGCTGCCAAAGGGCAGCCGGATGGCAACTGGACTTGGAGCTGAGCTAGCTGCACCCTCCACAACTAAGATTGAAGGACAACAACTTGGCTGTTCCTCTTCCCCAATTCCCCAACACTGTTCCCCTTCCCCAATAAAGTCTTTAAAGTAAATAAATAAATAATAAACATTATAAAATACACAGAGATATTAAAAGGGATTAGATAAAAATTGTGTTTAAAAATAAGTCTCATATGTATTGTTTTCAAATAAAAAAACCCTGCTTTTTAATAATTTAATGTCTTTTAAAGAATTCTTCCTGTACCCCAAAGGACTGCTTTAGTCTAGTGGAGGCCAACAAAAACAAGTAAACAAGGGGCCGGCTGAGTGGTGTGTTGGTTAAGAGCTGGCTTGGAATGCCAGCTCTGAGCAGCAGGGTCCCGGTTCGGATACCACATGAGGGTCAGTGACGCTGCTCTCTACAGCTAAGATGGTGAAAAACAGCTCGACCTGGAGCTGGGCTGCAGTGAGTCGCCGGTGACAGCATAGGCTGCAGCCCCTGCTGCAGTGGGCTGCCATGAGCTACCGTGTGTGGCTGGCAGCCAGCATGAGCGGCTGGCAGCCAGTGTGAACTGCCAAGAGCCATCGTGAGTGGCCATCCAGAAGCCAGCGACCGATCTGCCTCACCCGGGAAGAGCACAATGATAATACCAACATGGGCCAGTAAAGCAACGTGAGTAAGGTCTTCTAAGGCTTTTACTGAACTAAAATCATTCAAGAAATAATAAAATCTGTGTTGAGACTACAGTATGAAACTTTCCCCAATTTCTCTCATAGCATTTTAAGGTTGATTTAACATGAACTATATTTTTTATAATACTCCATACACAATAAAAACAATAAAGCTATTGTATACATAAAACAAAATTTCAAGCTAAACCTCATCCAAGGAAGACACAATAGACTCTCACTCTACAAAGTCTTTGATCTTTCATTCACATGGAATAAAGCCTAGCAAATAGGCTTTTACCTAATGGAAACTACATAAAATGAAGACAGTAAACTTGATAAAGCAAATTTTCTGAGCATTACAGATGACAGATCTAGACTATTACTGTCTATTAAAAATATGTGAGCCATGAATGCAGACCAAATATGTAATTTTATATTTTCTAGTAGTCACATTAAAACAAGTAAAGAGAAACAGGTAAAATTAATTTATTTTATTCAACTCAATATATTAATACAGTATTTTACTTTCTTTTTCAAAAATCTTGAAATCTGATGTGTATTTTACACTTCTAGCATTATTTCAATTCCGATGAGCCACATTTCAGGTGCTCATAACCCACATGAGGTTAGTGATTACTTCACTGGACAGTTAAGCTCTAGACCTTTCAAAGACTTCCAAGGTATCAAAATACAGTTTTTATAATTACTGTGTAAGTCTAATGTTCAAGATTATATATCTGAGTCAAAAAGAAAGAAAAATTAAACAATAAATACACACTACAGAAAAAATATGTTTTCACTCAAACTGCTATTAAAAACAAGTATCAAGGGCTACTGGTCCTTATTAAATACTAAAAAATTTCTACCAAAATCTATCATTTTTTTATAGTCACTCATAAGGGATGATTAGATTTGCCCCACTTTTTCCAAATAGCAACAAAGTTAACTCCGGAATTTGATTTCCCAGCTGCTTAAACAATTAAATATTTATTGACATAAATAATAAAACCATCTTACCTAAGCCATATAGAGCAAGTTTTGTGCTTCCTTTTTGAAGCAAAACCGGACTAATGTCTATCTTCTCCACAGACCTTGAACGTCCAAAGTGATTTACAAATCCAGCACAACTTAAGATATCCAAGGCGCAAAGTGCATCTGCCTATTCAAAGTATTTTCAACAAATATTAAAGTACATCTAACAATAAGTTATCTGCATATCATATTATTATCTATTAAAGTATATTCTATAGCTAGTTACAAAAAATAAATTAGGACAGTGTCTTCTCAAAACAAAATTACAATTCTAAAAGTATTTGTCACCTTTTTTCTATTACAAGTGACCTACTACAATTGGAATCACATGCTAAATGCAGAGCTAACATTTCATCAAAACTGTATCTTGGCCACTGACAAATAAAAACCAGCCATGAAATAAGTGCTCTGTAATATTAAGCAGACCTCTTAAGATGTGGGGAGAAAAAGACTAGATAACTAGCGGTTTATAATATTAATGAACAGGTAAAACAAAGATACTTTCAGTTTATGACCTCTGTTAGGACTTCCATATCAAATAGGTAATAAGATGATCTAATTTAGATTTAAAACTGTTTATGAAACAATCATTTCCTACAAATAAGATTTTAAGAACACACGGTAAACTGTAAAGCATTATAAAATGTTAGGTGTTTATTCCTACTCCTGGTTACTTATTGTTAACCTCAGCACTAATAAAATAAAAGCATACCTCATGCACCAATTATTATTCCAGATTTTTAAAAATTATCTAAAAAGCACTATAAAAGCTTATATGAATGATCAAAAGTCAATTTGACTTTTTGACTCAGTATGGCTACAAATTGCTTTCCACAGACAAACTAAACCAATCATTTCTAAAATTTTAACAAACTGTAAGAACCCAATAATTACCCCTGTGGGATCATCATGATTTCCATGAATACTAAACACTGGAATCGAAATGTTGAGATTGCCATCTTGGTAGTTCACCCATGGAAACCTAAAAAAAAAAAAAAAAAAGGTAATTAAAGCTTCTGTAAGAGACAAAAGCTATTTCCCCCACGATCTTCCTCCAAAAAAGTAATGCAATTGTAGCCAAACTGAATGATCTAAGCTGGAGCTTTAAAAAAATAAAATCACAGGCAACAATTCATTTCAAGTCAAGTTTGAAAATATGTCAAAGTACTACACTATATTAAAGAAAACCCTACAATAAAAGATGTTTGTGAATTGTCTAAAAGAGTGGTATATCTAATTAATGAGAAGTCAAAAGGTTTTCAAAATTTTAAAAGCCTTTGAATAAGGTTTTTTATTTGTAGAAGGGGGAGGGCAAGAAACACACCCACTTTGGAGTCCAGAGTACCGAGACTAAACATTCCAGCTCTATCACTTACTACTTGTAACTTAGTCTCCCAATCACCCGTCCCTAGTCATCTAGCTCCTCTTCTCAGGGCAAATGTTAGCAGTTTCTAGTGTACCTTTGCAAAATTATCTTATAGCTGTACAAGAAAATAAATACATCTTCTTTCTTACACAAATGATAGAAGAATATAGATTACTATGTCCTGCTTTTATCATTTAACGTATTTTAGAAATCATTCTGCATCAGGGCAAAAAGAGTTTCCTTGTATTTTTTGGGCTGGACAGGACTCCATTGTATTGATTTTTATATGTTTAAGTAGTTATCTACCATTGGACATTTTAACCATTTCCAGTCTTTTGTTTTACAAATGAGGCTCCACTGAGTAATTGCTTACAAAATTGCCTTTGTAAGAGGATAGAAAAATATCTAGAAGGGAATTGGTGGGTCAAAGGATACATGTGCAGATATAAATTTGATAGCTACTGCCAATTTCCTTCTATACAGGTTGTAAAAATTTACAGACAATACAATGGCAATGCCTGAGTGAGACAGTTTCACCTTACTCCACTAACATAATACTTTATCAAGCTTTTAAATTCTATGCCAGTGGTTCTAAATGCTAGCTGCATGTGCGAGTTCTCTAGAAATCTTTAAGAAATACCAATGTCCATAACATACTCGGAGATTAACTGGCCTGTAGACTGGGCATAGTATTTTTTTAAGATTCCTAAGTAACTATAACGTGCACCAGAACTGAGCATCACCCACCTATACCAATCTGATAGGACAAAAATAGTTCAATATACTTCATTTTACATTGTTCTTATGAATGAGCTTCATTTTATATCATTCATATTCTTTTAATATGCTTAAATGCCATTTTATTTCCTTTTATGTGAAATATGTCAACATTCTTTACCTATTTTTTTACTTAGCTCATGGATTCTTTTGACTTAAAAGAACTATTAATCTATTGAGGTAATCAGATATTAATTAGCAATTAGTTGCAAATATTCTTCCTGGTTGAACTTTGACTTTTGACTTTACTTTGGGTTGTTTTTGCCATGCAGAGATTTTCTTTTACAAAGACAAAATTAGCAATCTTTTCTTTTAAGGCTCCTAGTATGTGTCATACTTAGAAAAGCCTTTTCCACATCTAGGTTCTCAAAAAATGTGTAAGTTCCTTCTAGTAATTTTACTGAATAATCCATATTTTTCATGGAGAGATGAGATTGCCACCTTTATCAAATACTAAATTCCTACATTTACTGAGGCTACTTCTGGAATCTGGGTATGTCAAAAGGATACAGGAGCCAAACTGAAAGAACACCCAATGATTAAAGCGGGTACAATTCATTTGAGCAACAGAACAGATTACAATAGTATTAAATTAAAACCCAAAGGGAAAAAAATGAGTTCATATTGACATAAACAACTGAATTAATTTCTAACGACATAGACAACTGGATAAATAAACAAATAGGGGACAAGGGACAAATCTTCCTCACATAAGAATTCCAATCAATAAATGTAGAAAGAATGTGGGAAACAAAAATCACCATTAGGGGCTGGCCAAGTGGCGCGATGGTTAAGAACTGTCTTGGGACGCCAGAGGGCCCCGGTTCGGATCCCACATATGAGGGCCAGTGACACTGCCCTCCACAGCTAAGATGCTGAACAACAGCTCAACCTGGAGCTGGGCTACCGTGAGTCGCCAGCGACGGCGTAGGCTGCAGCCCCTGTGGCAGTGGCTTGCCATGGGCTACCGCATGTAGCCAGCAGCCAGTGTGAGCGGCCAGCAGCAGCAGTGAGCGGCAGTCCAGAAGCTGGCGACTGATCTGCCTCGCCCGGGAAGAGCGCAATGATGGTGCCAACTTGGGCCAGTGAAGCAACGTCCTCCACAACTAGACTGAAGAACAAAAGGACAGCAACTTGTCTGTTACCCTTCGCCCAATTCCCATCCCCCGAATTCCCCAATAATAATTAAAAAAAAAATCACCATTAGAACATCACAATTGTGATTGCTATAGGCAATCGCAATTGTGAACATTAGAACATCACAATTGTGATTGCTATAGGCAAGAGACATTCGTGAATGCTGAAATTAGTGGACAAACTTTAAGGAGAAACGGAACAGTTGCACAGACTCAAACTATCTCCCCCCAAATAATCACTAGTGACAGTGGTTTTAACCATGGCCAAAATTCTTTGACTCCTTCCTCAGTTGGAAGTGGAACGTAATCCCCTCTGTGAATGTAGGCAGACTTAGCGACTCCCTTCTAACCAAGTGTATGGAGAGGGAAAAACAGTAACTTGACAGCGGAGAAACCTGGCAGACACCACTTTAACCAAGAGCTCAAGAGCTCAAGCCATGCTGGTAGCATGTACTCCTGACATGCTGTGAGGTCACTTGGCTGCTGTGGAATATTCTTCCCCAAAAACCCAAAATCCTAGTTTAATCATGAGAAAAACCCAAGAGGAGGGACATTCTGTAAAATACCTGACCAGTACACTCAAAAGTATCAGGGTCATAAAAGGGAAGGAAAGACAGAGAAACTGGCATAGGCTGAAGACTAACAGAACATTTTAGCTAACTGCAATGTGGTATCCTAATACAATGTTTAAGTAAAAACATGAGAATATCTTTATGACATGGAGTTCTTGATGGCTATCGTAAAAAAGTCCCAAAAGCACAAATCTTTTTTTAAAAAAGAACACTATATTTGACACCATCAAAATTAAATATTTCAGTCAACAAAAGTCACCATAAACAAAGTCAAAAGATAATCCACTGACTGGGAAAAAAGTACATGCCTGACAAAGGCTTAGTATCTAGAATATATAAATAACTTTGGCAAAGTCAGTAGCAACATACAAAAATTCCAATTTTTAAAATGGGCAAAGGATGAACAGAAGAGGATACCAAAATGTACAATAAAAATTTGCGAAGATACACAGTCTCACCAATATTAGATTAATACAAATTAATATAAAGACATACAGAAAATTTAAAGAACTACATTTACTATGAAAATAGCTTGTAACAAAGGTGAATGGCTAATTGTTAAAGTGTTTATGTTTTAAATGGAAAATATTATACACAAGGAAATATTCACATAAGCATTTAGCAATACTTACTTACTAAAACCAAAGTTGACCGACTGATCACTGATAATTTCAAACTGTACAGGATGGTCACCCATGCAATATTTTCTTAATAACTCAAGGCTGGCATGTAATGTTTTTCTTGAGGGTTTATTTTCATGAAAAAGGTCACCACCTAACAAAATAAAGTCCACCTAATCAACAGAAAATAGTGTTAAAATTAGAATGTTTTATAGTTAAAAAATTTTAAACTATAGATGAAAGAGATAGAAAAAAATATCATATAAGATACTATTGGGTTGTAGGAAAAGTCATGACACATTTTTGCAACAAAAAACATAGAAAAAATACATCATGACTTGTCCAACAACCCAATATTATATATGGAGGTTTAAAATTTTAAATGTCAAAGGACATTCCAATCTGGTGATTAAACTGACTCCAACTTAGGTTCCTAGCCCACCTTCAAAAAGCCATCTTCAAATTATTACACCAAGACTGACTCATGCAATGCAAAGTGTTATTTCTTTTTTTGTTATTAAAATCAAACATAAACTTAGCACTTTAATAGAACCTAGAAAGAGATAGCCAATTTATTCCAAATTATTCATTTAATTCATTCAACAATTATTTAAAGTTCCTATGGGCACTGGTAGATAAAGAAATAGCAATCTACAAATGATGATGTCCCTGCCCTCATTAAACACTGACAATGTGAAAAATACCCTGTACTACCCAGAGATACAATGATAAATAAAATGCAATCCCTATTCTAAAAAATGTTCAAAATCTAATGGAAGAGACAACCTGCTATGCATCTGAAGATAAGTCAGACTCTGACATGCACTAGAATTCTAGCTAAGGGGCAAAAATTTGTCTGAAGGCAGTGAGTTTGGGAGGGATGTGCTAACACACGGTGGCATCTGAGGTGCACTATGAAGGATAAATCAGATTTGAAGAGCATTCTAGGAGCAACCAGAAAGGAGGAAAATCATACAGAAAAAATGACCAACACAGTCACGCTTTCAAGAAGTGTACAATCTACCTAAAGAAGCGTGATGTGCGCTACAGTAGTGAGGGGAGAATACTCCCCCACAAAATGTGCCACTTCGGTGTGTGGACTGTTTTGAGCTGAAGACAATTAACACCTAGCAGATTCAGGAAAAACTTTTTTACCTCTCCCTGAACTGTCTAGAATAATTTAGATAGGTAGCCTATACTAGGAAGGAACTATCATCAGAGGTAACTGATCTGTACGGTAGACATTTGTTTAGCAAACATTTGCTCATCCCTTCTTCCTGTGTCTTCCTCCCCTCTGAAGCCCCAGACACTCACCCTTCTTCTCCTTCAGCTCAGGATGGCACGTGAGCCTCAAATACCTGACTACCAAGGAGTCTCGTTTTTTTATGGGGCTCTCGTATGTGCGAAATTTGTTTTTCTCTTGTTAATCTGTCTTATGTCAATTTAATTATCAGACCAAAGAACCTAGACAGGAAGAAGGAGAAAATTTTCCACTCCTATAGTAGTCAGAGCTTTAATAAAAATGTGGGATTTAAGCTAGGTCTTCAAAAATGAACACAATTTGAGTAAAAGAAGAAAATGATAGTAATCAAAGGTATAGAATAAAACAAAACAAATTAAAAGTAATTTGTGGACGAAAGGTAAGAAGTAGTTGTTTAAATGGCAGTTTCACTTTTGCAAAATAAAAGCAAGTTCAGGAGATTGGTTATACAACAATATGAATATGCTTAACGCTACTGAAGTGTACACTTAAAAATGGTAAAGATGGTTAATTTTGTTATGCATATTTTATCACAAGTAACAATTTTTTTTAATATTTTAAAAACTGGTTTGTGACTCCAGGGAACACTGAGAAGGACACAACTTGCTTCTGTGGTATTCCTGCCAAAAGTGAGTCAATTCATGAAGAAATGTCAGACATATTCAATTGAGGAACATTATTCTACAAAATAATTAGCCTGTACTCAATAATGTCAGTCATGAAAGACAAAGGCAGACTGAGGAAATGTACCAGATTACAAGAGGCTAAAAAGACATGACAACTAAATGCAAAATGTAATCCTGGAGAGGGGCTTGGTTATCACCCACCTGCCACAGACTGCTATAATAGACATTACTGAGACAATTGGTAACATCTTAAAATTACAGAATAGCATTGACTCAATACTAATTTCCTGGTTTTGATAAGTACACGGCTGTTATATATGCAATTTATTTTCAAATGGTTCAGAAAGTGTGTGTGTGTGTGTGTGTGTGTGTGTGTGTGTGTGTGTGTGTGTGTAAAGAGAAAGAATAATGCAAATGTGGTAAAATGTAGGAAAATCTTGGTGAAAAGAAATTCTTTGTACTATTCTTGTAACATTTTTGTAAGACTGATACTCTTTCAAAATTGAAAGTTAAGAAAGGAAAAAAAAAAGACTCCAAGGAACTAAGGAGTAGAAATAAACTGGTTTGGTGGCATAGCCCCACAAACAGAGGACTTAAAGATTCAGGAAGAAGACAAGTAAATATAATATGTATCTGGAAGTACCATCATGGGGCTGGCAGGCAGCGGGGACAGTTAAAATTAAGGGATGCAGAGAAGGGAAACAAGAGGAAATAGAAGGAAAGGACAAAGAAAAAAAAAAGCATATGCTCAGGGAAAGAGGGAAAGAAATATCTTGGCACCTATGAGTTAGAAAAGAAAGGACACAGGATTCTCTGGCAGGAAACAGACCTCCTTTGTTACAAGTTTGTCTGCCCTCAGGGAAAGAGGAATCCATCTTAAAAGGAAATAGTACTAGACATTCCCTCATTCATTATCAAATATTTAAGAGAACATACTGCTTGCTAGATCCTTTCTAGGTACAAGGATACAGCATCAGCAAACAGAAAAGATCTTTCACTCTCATGGAGTTTATTTATCTTCTAGTGGAAAAGACAGATAATAAACATTAAACAGTTCAACCAATTATTTCAGATAGCACTATGAAAAAATAAAGAGAGTAATGTGATAAAAGAGTGTGTGGAGATATCAGGGAAGACGTCTCCAGAAAGGTCAAACTTGAACTGAAAAGCCAATCCTGCCAAGATCAAGATGCTACAAGCAGAGAGAGCCAGACATGCAGAGGTCTCAGAAGAGAACATGCCAGTGTGGACGGGGCACAGTGAACAAGGCAGAGTGGTAAGGCGGTGAAGTCCCCTAGCAGGGAACAGATCAAGTTGAGCCTTGTAGTTTCAATTTTATTTTAGGTTCAGTGGAAGGCCACTGGGAAGATTTTTAAGCAGCAGTGATATGATCCGATTTATGATTTTAAAAGTTCAAGTTAGCTGCTATGCTGAACAGATGTAGGGGAAAAGAATGGACGTAGAAAGACCAATAGGGAGCTATTGTAGTCCAGCAAAATATGACACAAGTTTTGGACTAAGTTTGTAGGCATGAAAATAGAGAGTAGTGGAAAGGTTACATATATTTTAAGGAGGAAGAACCAAAGGACTTGCAGATAAACTGATTGGAACTCTGAGGAAAAGTCAAGGTTAAAGAGATTAATTTGCAAGTCACCAGCATTTACATTTATTCCCTACTTTCTCATTTCAACTGCCTGCTGGAATGTTTCCTTGAATGTCCTATTGGAATCTCCCAACTCAAATAGTCTAAATCAGAATTCATCACCTTCCCACATAGAGAAGTATCTCTTCCTTATTTAGAACCTAGTTCTTTATTGCTACCACCATTCACCCAAACTTAACATACTTCCAGAGTCACTGTCATCCCCTTTTCCCTCATCCCCACCCCTACAACTCAGCCAAAGTAGGCAAATCCTATTTTTGGAATATTTCTTGCTTTCGCTTCCACTTTTCCATCCCATGCAACCAACCACCTTGAAAAAGATCCAAACTGGTCTCCAATTCAGTCTACACTCTGTCGCCAGAAGACTTTCTATTGAATGGAGTACAAACTCCTCAAGCTGTCATTTGAAGCTCTTATTAATGCAGCTCAGACCACATTTCTAGTCTTTCAACATGCTTCCTAAAACACGGTCTCCCAGTGAGCCAAACAGACCTGCTGTTTCCCTAACATACCTTGTATTGCCTCACTTCTGAGCCCTTTCTCCTGTTTCCTGTGAAAAACACATTCTCGATGCTGTTCACCTGCGCAAAGCCCTCAAAGCCCGCGTTAAATGCCACCTCCTTCATTAAATTTATATTGCTATCCTCATCTAAATATGATCTCTTCCACCTCTAAACTCCCAGGAAAGGCTGTTTATAATTTTCTTATGGCTCTTATCACAAATGACAGTGCCTGAGCATTCTGGACATTTGTCTTATCTTCACATACTGGTTTGCTATCCGTTCTTTGAAAGTAGAAACTGTTAACAGTCATCTTTACATTTCTAACAGAAACTGCCACAGGATCCTCACTCAGAAAACACTCTATCAATATTTGTAAATTTTTACAGACTATTTACAAAAGTAGCTCCTACTTGAATTAAGGGCACAAAGCACACAAGACCTGCTTTGAGTTTTTAGTATATTGATATTTAAGCAGGCAATGTGAGCCTATAAAACAAACTTCTAATTTTAAGTGGGGAAAAGAGACTGCTAAGTAAGGGAACACTGTAGAAACTGTAAAAATGTAAACCAAACTCACTTCATTTTCCTGGGCAAGTCTTAAAATTTCATCAAGTGTGGCAAATGTATCATTTCCTCTGACTGCATCTTTCTCCATATATCCCAAATGAATGTCCGTTGCAACTAAGATTTTAAATGTATCTTCATCATCGCTATATTTAAAAAGAAGAAATGTTTCAATATAATAAATTAAAAGGATGTTCAAAAAAATTAAAACCTAAATGTATAAAATAAATAATAGCAGTTATGGAGTAAAATCACTTTTCTAGTCTTAACTAACTGAAAATTTCAAGTATTTAACAGCTCTTTAACATCACATAGTCTGCCTACCACTAATTCAATACAGAGCAAATGTACATGAATTTTTAAAAGGTCTGTGGCTACTTGAAAAATTTACAGCCTCATTACAACCAGTTTTATGTACTCATGTGAACCCTGGTGCTGAAAACTTGATTGTTCTCCTATTCTGTTCCACAGCAAAAACCCAAGAGGATTTGACCCCATATCTAACACTGCTATTTACCTATTTTGCACTCTTCCAGGAAAAATCAGAGGTAACCAGAAAGCCCTTCCTCTTACTTTATAAGTAGAGTTTTTCTTAATAAGCTAGTAACTTACATTCAGGCCCCTGAAGACATTTGCTTGACTATGCTCTCTATACAAAATTAGTTTTTTTCTAACAAATTTGGTCAAGTAACAAAAAATTATTTATTCCACTTAAATCTGGTAGTATTCAAAGATATGTTCATGTGAAGCAATAATGTAACAATTATTAATATTCTGTTAAATTTAATATAAATTTTAACATTCTTTAAAATATTTTTGTATCTATAATCTCATTTCAACTCACATGGAAAAAGGTAGGTATTGTTATTTTTGAAAAATGAGGTTAAACAGAGAATTAAATGACGTATTGCATAACTATATGGTAGAAACAGGACTAAACCTCAGGATTAAAACTCAGGCTATTTTCTTGAAACCATAATGAACTTAAAAGAAATATATATATATATATATATATATATATATATATATATATATCACATGAGTCTCTCATTTAAACATCAAAATTAATCTGAGAAAAGCAGTTTTATTCCAATTATACAAACGAAGAAACTGAAGCAAAGTTTAGGAGATTGTTAATTTGCCCAAGGTCCCACAGTATTTTAACCAAAGAACTAAAACCAGGGCAAAAGATTCCAAGTCTAAAGCTTTTTCCACATAACTGTTTCTAGTCCTTTTATTTTCATTTTACTCAAACTCATTTTCAATTTATTCAATACTAGAGCCATTTATTTCCCTAAAAATCTCCTTCAACAGACTTGTCTTGACTAAAATTTTGTCATAAAAGTTCAAGTTTATAGCTTCAATATTTTAAGACAAAACCTAAGAACATAAATGTACATACTATAGCAACATATACCAAATTACTGCAAGACCCAATTTATAGCTGCATATTATCTTTCAGTTAATAAACGTATAGTACAAATTTTAAACATTCCAAATATTCTTTTGGTGACTATCACTTCTGTTCATAGTCAAGCTATTTACCACTTATTGATTAAATATGTTTTCTTTTAGGGTGATCATAGTTGATGGGCTTTAGAAACCCAAAGCAACAAAGAAGATTCCAGAAGACAGGTACTTACAGGGCATCTGCACGACTCATTTCTATGGTCAGTCCAGCTCCTCTCGGACCAATTTCCTCTCCAAGAACCCCTGGGTTCTGCGCTGAAATGTCAGAAAACTCACTCGATTCCAAATTCTAAAAACAAAATGATGTTATTATAAAACACGCATTTTAAAAAAAGCAGACAGTCAATTGTGTACGAGTCTCATGTTCACCTAAGCACCTACTATACTTTTAGGAGTAAATTAATAGAAAATAGCACATCTCCAGTGCCAGTCTAGTTTCACCGTTATGATTCGGCTCACCTCCTATTTCCCTTTTCCATGCCCTATGGGAAACTTGAAATGAACGGGCAAAAGGGGTCACATACAGTTGTTAAGGTTCAGCACAAAAACTCTGGATGTACAGAAATGTTTAAGGTGCTTATGTAGGCTACTCTGGAGCACGGAAGCGACCCTGTACTTCCACTCAAACTCAAGCTTTTCTAAAGGAATGGGCTTGTTTTGGAAAGAGGTTGCCCCCAAGTGTAAACAAACAGAAACACGTGGTCTGCGGAGACACACCTTCAGCCGCCAGCGGAACAAGTGGAAATCACCGGCATATTAGGGAAGGAGCCGCTCGCTGCTATGGCGAAACCACCCCACCACGTCCAGATTCCCAGTTTCATGGGGATTGCCTCAACATGCCCCCACCACTGGACTCCTAGAAACCAGAACGCGTAATCCTCCAGCACCCTTCCCCAGCCCACTCGGTCCATTCTTCCCGGAGGCTCAATCCAAATCCACTCTGGGCTTCCGCCGGGTTCCTGCACATATAGGTGGCGGCTACGATTCTTCAATTACCTCACACTTAAGACTCTTCAAGGCCCCATTCTCCCTCCTCCCTCCCACCAGGACCCAAGGTTGTCTTTTACCGGGAAAAAAAAGGAGCGATATCCGTGAGCAGAGAAGCAGCGGCACACTCGCAGCTCCTGAGAACCCGCTAGGCCGTAAACCTGAATTACGCGGGAGAGAATAAGCAGTTCTTCCTCTCGCGATACCTTTTTGATGACGTGACGCTTCAGGTCCTCTTCGGTTTTCATTGGCTGCCGAATGCAAGGAAAGTAGCAGCGAGGCCCCGCCCTCGAACAGAAGCCAATCCTGAGAGCCGAGGGGACGAACCCCGGAAGCGAGGTTTGCGGCGGCGATTTTCCCTGGTATGAGGTGGGTAGTTCTTCCTTGCTTTGGACCACGCTTCTTTGGGCGCCTTGTGCCGCTTAAGAGCTCCTGGGCCTGTAGGGGTGGGTCACCTGTCGACCCCGGCTGCGTCGTGGGTCCTAGGTAGGGCTGGAACCGCTACTCCGCTCTTGGCTGTTTGGAAGGCCGCTGGAGCGACTCCCGGGCCTGTGAAGTGGCCCGCCGTTGCCGGAGGGCCGGGACTGATGGCCGCCTCCCTTGCTCCCACTCCCCGGAGGTAGAACATTCGGAGCCTCAGTTTTACAAGCCTTTCCTTCCCTGCTTAGCCCTGGATCCCGGGTTCAGCACATCTGTATTGCTTTGTGCTTGCAGCAGTAAAATATAGTCGAGTAAAAAATAATGTGAAACTTTTGATTTAGAAAATCAAGGCTTTCGGCTCCATTGAAGTTCCTTGATCGAGGGCAAGTTGTTTTAATCTATCCGAACCTCAGCGCCTTCACCTGTAAAATGGGGCTTATGGCCCTGCCTGTCACTGAGTTGTTTGTGAGCAGTTGGCAAATTTAGATCATTTTTAAAATGGAATCTCTCCTTTAAGTTAAGACACATACGCTATTTCTTCCCGGTGGAATATCAAGTAAGTCTCCTGATTGACTTTTTAAATCCTGAATCGGGGAGATGCACCTGGGTTTAACTTTTTAAATCAAAATCACCAAGAAAATTTTATATACAATGTATTATCTGGAGCAGTAAATTAAAAACTTTTAAAAAGGGAGGCTTTATAAAAAGGAAAAGGGGGCATAAAAGCTGTGCTATAATTTGATATAGTTAACGAGTGAACTTTGTTATTTACTGGTATTGTTTTATGTATTGATGTGTGATCACTTTTGTGTTGCAAGGCTCAGAGACTAGTTTGAGAATAAAAAAAAATGTGAGAACTGTTAAAACAAAAAAAATTCTGATAGTGTCTCTTATAGACTGAAAAGCTGGACAGGCCTTGGAAATTCTTTAGTGAAATCCTTACATTTGACAATGAAGTAACAAGCCCAGAGAAGGTACTAGTCTTGAGTAATAGATTTAAACTTGAGCTTAATGTTCTTGGCACTAGTCATAAAATCTAATGCTGCATTAGGATTGAATACTATTAAACTTGCAAAACTAGGTAGAAAGGCGTGTAAATCTTAGGGGTATGACTAACTCTCAAACTTATTAGAATCTATTCCAGTCAAAATCAAGTGATAGGGCTTTAATTAAATTTAATTCTATATTTCTGAATGCCTGCTGTATATAAGTGGGACATAAATATAAGTTAAATATAGTCCCTATCCTTAAACTTTTAAGCGGCTAAAACAAGAACAAAATTAGTGGTGAAATAAGACAATATGTAGCACAAAAAACGTTAGAGATCTAATTTGGAGGATCAAGAAAGACTTAATGAAAGAGGTAACATCTGAGAGGAGCTCTGAAAGACTGGTAAGATTTCAACAAATAGTATAGTTGGGAGGCTGAGAAATGGTATTTTTATAAAATGTATTTTTCAATTACAGTTGACATACAGCATTAGTTTCAGGTGTACAACAGTGATTAGACTTTTATAAACCCGACATTGTGATCTTCTGATAAATAGAAATGGTATTTTAAAAATATCTATTACTATTATTTTCTTTGGTTAAAGTTTATTAATATGGCAACCTAGCAGAATAAGCATAATTTCCTTTGGGAAGCCTCCTCTAATCCCTTAGCACTGGGTTAATTTTGACTCTTCAGCATACTCATTGTTTCTGGACATAGCCCTTTCATAGTACTTATCCCCCTGTCTTTGCCAGTCACTCCAACTAGATAGTAAGCTTCTTGAGGTTAAGACATGGACTTTGTTTATTATTGAATCCCAGTACCCAGAGACTGGCTCATACCAGGCATTCTATTCATATTTTTTGAATGAAGGACTGAATGATAGCCAAAATTCAGTTACCAAACAAGAAGCCAACTAAGAACTATAGTTGTCTGTCAATGAATAGGACTACGTTTAAAGCAGTGAATTTTTCCAAGCCTGAAATTATTAAAGTAGTAACAGGATAATTATAGCAGATGTCATGATAAAGATCTGCACTGATAAGAGATTGGGGCAGTTGTCCTTTAGAGGATATTCCATCTCTAAGAATCCCTGATTCTTCAAAGTAGTTTTTTAGGAGCTAAAAGTTTTTGTTTCTGCTGTATAGTATCTATATGTCTAGTTTTTAAAAATCATGAATGTGCCTGTCTTGATTATAATTTAAAAGCTTCAAGCATTTGTCACTCTTAGCATGATACAATAGTACCTAAACCAATAGATTCAAAGTAAGTACAGGTATACCTCGTAGATACTGTGGGTTTGGTTCCAGACCACTACAATAAAGCCAATTGTAATCTTTTTGCTGGTGGAGGGTTTTGCCTTCAATTTGTTAAAAACGGAACATCTGTGAAGCACAATAGAACGAAGTACAGTAAAACAAGGTATGCCTGTACAGTTATAGTCACTGACTTAGTAGAACGAAAACAAAACAAAATAAATGTTAGGCCATTAAAGATATAGATAACTAAAATTTATCAGCTCTAACATTTAGTGACTATAAAGGGTGTCAAGAAACACTAGAGTTTGGACAGAGTTTGTGTATGTTTGCAAGACTTATCTGTGCTGTTGATAAAGCCTCAGTTACTGTTTTGCTAATAATTTTTTGTTTGTGTTTTCAGATCTTGATGAATAGAATAAAGCAGACATAATTAATCTCTTAAAAGATTATTTATATCCTGGCATTTGAAATGTTTTGTATTTAGAATTGTAGTAAAAAAAAATGGAAAAAGAGAAAGTAAATGATGATGGACAACCAGACCCACAGAATTCCTTGGACTTTTCTGAACACTTTAACCAACTTGAATTGTTGGAAACACATGGACACCTTATTCCCACTGGAACCCAAAGTCTCTGGGTAGGGAATTCTGATGAAGATGAGGAGCAAGATGAAAAAACTGAAGAGTGGTATCAGTTGCAAGAAAAAAAAATGGAAAAAGACCCAAGCAAATTGCTCCTTTGGGCTGCTGAAAAAAATCGGGTAAAAAAATAAATCAGTTAAAGAAGAAACCATAATATAGTAGGAAAAGTATTAGATTTGGAGCCAGAACACCTGTCCCTGAACCACTGTTTGGTCTGTAACTTTGGGCAAATCCTACTATTTCTGAACTTGTATTTTCTTAACAGTATAAATGGCCACCATAACACCTGCCTCTTTTATACAGGGTTTTGAGGATCAAATGAGGCAATGTACATGAAAGCACATGGTAAGCTACAAAGAATTAGGTATTTGCGGGGCTTTAAGGATAATAAACTATAAAGATCACAAGCAATCATCTCTATTTTTAAATCATTTATATTAAGTCATTAGGATCATCCTAGAGACAAGTATTTAGGAAAAGGAGGATGGGAACTAACAGTTATTGAAGACCAACTATGCCATGTGCCTTGTTACATTATTTGATTTAATCCTCATGTATCCCTATAAGATCGGTAATATTCTCCCCTTTTACAGATTAAGAAATTGAAATTCAGGACTATTAATTTGTCCAGGATCATCCAAGTAGATCCAACATAGCATCGAAAGTCTATTCCTACTCAGCCACTTCTGCCTTATTTTACTAAGTTCCCCCATGTCTTTGTTAGTAAAGTAATAACTCAAAAGGTCTTGCAATAACTAAAAAGGTCTTGCATTTTTGGATAACTTTTTATCCCAAGAGCACACTGTATGTATCCTACCAGAGGTCCATAGATCAAACTAAAAATTACTTCCTGAAAACACGTGCCTAAGGTTTTAGTTAGAAGGAATTGAGCTCTTTAATCTCTATATTTCTTTGTTAACCATTGTATTCTAATAAAGTAGTTTATTTTTTAAAGTTTTTACACTATGTATATGTGTGTGATACTCCTACTACAGAAAAATCAATCTGTTACTATGTTTTCTTCACAGCTGACATAAAATACTAAATATAATTATAGCCTGTATTATTCATCTAGGACTAAAGCGTTTGTGCAGTAAGCCTTAATTGGATCAGAAGTAAATATATGGTTTGATATTCAAAGAATCACATTCTTAGAATCAGCAGTTTATGGTTAATACCAACTTGTTCATTCTTAAATCAATTGCCTTCTCCCTTCCTAAAATGAAATCTTACTTTCAGTTTAAAGTCATCTGTTAAGAAGTAAGTTTTTATTTAACTTAATTAAACGTAACACCGCTAGACAGCTTAATTTTCTTGGTTTACTGTTCAGTTTGAGTTGGATTTTTAAAAGACGTCTTTCTCTCTCCTCAGCTGACTACAGTGCAGAGACTACTTTCTGAAAAGGCCACTCATGTGAACACTAGAGATGAAGATAAGTACACCCCTCTTCATCGAGCAGCCTACAGTGGACACTTAGATGTTGTCCGTGAGCTGATAGCACAAGGAGCAGATGTTCATGCGGTGACTGTGGATGGCTGGACACCCCTGCACAGTGCTTGTAAGTGGAATAATACTAGAGTAGCGTCACTCTTACTTCAGCATGATGCAGATATCAATGCCCAGACAAAAGGCCTCCTGACCCCCTTACATCTCGCTGCTGGGAACAGAGACAGCAAAGATACCCTGGAACTTCTCCTGATGAACCGCTACATCAAACCAAGTCTGAAGAACAGTCTGGAGGAAACAGCATTTGATATCGCCAGGAGGACAAGTATCTATCACTACCTCTTTGAAATTGTGGAAGGCTGCACAAATTCTTCACCTCAGTCTTAATGGTTCTGATCCTTTAAGTTTTGAAGTACCAGTGCCTCTTCTGTGTGAGATGTGAAAAATCCCCATAATACAAAGTTGACATCAAACACCTTACAACAAAAATTCAGTGGTACTCATTATATCCTTCCAAGTGAATTGCCTGACCTTGAGGTCAAAATGTATTTGAGAATTGTTTGCATTTATCGTTAATGATTTCTGTGGAGTGCGTGATTTTTATCAGAAATAATTTTAACTATACTTAAAAACCTGTCATGGGTTGTACAGAAAACTAATGATATTTTTGGTGCTGATCCAAGAAAAATGTATTTTTAAATATTCCCCATCCTGGATCTTTGTTAAATATTTAGTATACTGACATGTATTTTTATAAGGTAAGGTAACTCAGAATTTAATTTAAAAGTCTTCAATATACAGGTGCAGTTCAGCTGTCTTCTCTGTGTTACCATAGCCATTTGCTTTCATTTTAAACCATAGGAACTCACATCGTGTCTTGACTCTTCATAAGTTAAAAAACCTAGATCTTTGTCTTTTAGAACCTAGACCATTTTCAGGAAAGTAGTTAGGTGTTGAATCCATGAATGTTATATACTGCCTCCCTCCCACAATTCACACACTCCTATGGACAGTCCTACCTCACCCTGGTCCACCTACATAATCCTTGTTCTACTGGTGAGTCAGCGTGACCTTTCAGACATGAACACAACTATACCTTGGTCCCAGAGATTGTAATGTATCTGCTATCCAGCTGGTTTTACCTGCCTAAACCTCCTGATTCGGGCGCTGCTCATAATCAGGTTCACAGGAAGTGTTGATTTTTCTATGGTCCTCGTTTTATACAAACCTTACAAAGGGAAAGAGAAGGAAAAAGAAATTCTAAGAGTGAGGGGATGGTTATTATACTAGGGCTAGAACCACAAAGTGGCTCAGGCTTTTTAAAAAAGCCACAGTGTGGATAGTGACAAAAGCATAAATATATTTAAATAAAAGTTTCAAACAACAAAAAAGGGCATGAGTTCTTTTTTTACCTGTATACACCTTCCTTGGATCCATAACATATTTATTAATCAGCATACATTTATTGAATCTCTTCTCTTGGCCTCTCCAACAGTGGTGTCCCGTTGGCTACCTACCCCCTCTGTGACTGTTCCCAAAGGATTTTCTCTTAACTTTTCAACACAAGAACACGCTAGAGAAAGAACTAAATCAGTGGCTCTTCAGTTATAATTTTTAAATGTCCACCAAGGTTTGTCTCTTTTGAGCCAGCCCTTATGACCTAATCACCCTAGACCAGGGCTCGGCAAACTTTTGAGATGGAAGAGCCAATCCTGTCCCTCACAACAATTTAAAAATTATTCGAGAGCCATAAA